AAAAAAAAAAAAAAAAAAAAAAGTGTACTGAGCACTAACTGCGTTAAGTATGGCACCTAGTGGTAAAGCAATGAATAAGGCAGAGAAAAGGCTTGCCCTCCGTCCCAGTCCAGGGAGCCTGTCAATCAAGAAAACAAACCTATAAACAACATAAGTGGTGAGTTCTATAAAGAAATTACTAGTGTGAAAAGTGTATCCTTTTTTGCAGGCACTGCCTACTTTAGATGGGGGTGGGGAGGGTCAGAGAAAGCCTCCCAGAAAAGTAACATTTAAGACCGAACTTGGCTTTCTTCAGTAGGCCCTTCATGAAAGACATTTTCCCATACATCTAGTTAAGGAAATGACAAAAAAAGGGGGGAGGGAGAAAGAGAGAGAAAAAGAAAAAAAGAAAAGAGGAGAGAGAGGGAGAAAGAAAGAAAAGAAAGAGGAGAGAGAGAGAAAGAAAAAAGGAAAGAAAGAGGCGTACTTAGGCTGCCCGGCGGTCTCCAACCTTCGTCGCCAGACTGTCAAGTGGACAGTTGCCGACCTATTCCGGTCGCCACCATAAGAGGGCGCCGCGGGTCCTCCCAGTCCCCAGGAGGCGCAGTGACCCCGGGCACTGCCAAATTGACATCTCGTACCCAACAGTCAAGGCCCCGACAGCCCGGGTATAGGCAGAGGTCAAGCGCGGTGCTGGGAAGCCCTAGGGAACTGCAGAGAGTCACTAGGCTCCTCAAGGAGAGCCTGTCCTCGGTAACGCTAACCCTCACCATGGGCATAAGCCCCAGCTTCCTCGGGGACAGCCCGTTTCCGGCGCCTTTAAACGAGGAAGTACTGCTGTGTCCAATCCTGGTCCTCCTTCCGCACTTAGTCTTCGAGTCCATCCCTCTTCTGGCCTGTGCGGGGGCAAGCGGGCTCTGGCTACCAATCAGCGCTCGGGAAAGGCGCATGCGTCGTCGGCCAAACGCGGCGCACAAACTTTGACCCGAAGACGACATCCTCTCTCCCCCCTCCCTTGGGTGTGAAGATGGCGCTCTCCAGGGCTTGCTGTGCTCGAGCTGCTCTGTGGGGTTCGGCGGTCACCCTTGGACCTTTTGTCACCCGGAGGCTGCACCCTGGTCGCTCTGGCCTGGCTTGGGGCCCCCCTCGGTGAGGGCCTGGAGAGAGAAAAGCATTTTTGACAGCCAGGCCCTTCCAATGTCTCAGCCCTGCTTGCATGCTTTAATTCTTAGGCGTCCACGCCTTGGCTCCGGGATTTTTATTCTTCGGTTCGGGATTCGCACTCCGATCCCCGCTAGTGGCCTGGCTTCCTGAGCCACTCTACTGTCAGTGCCCCATATTGTCTGATTTCCTGCGTGTCCTGAGCTCTCCTTCCAGCCTCCCTTTTTCGGCTCAGGTTTTGCCGCTGCTGTCTCGATCCCGCCTCTCTCTGGCCTTAGCCTGCGATTCAGATTGTCTCACAGGCTTTGCGATCTCTCCAGGCTCACACCACTCCCCGGCTTCCCTTCCTGCCTGGCATCTGCCTGTATCTTTCTCAGTCTGATTGCAAATCTCTCCTCGACCCCACGATCTTCCTTGGATTTGAGAAGCTTCAAGTCTTGGCAAACATTCTTTGCGACTTGTATTTTTCATTAGGCACTCCAGGTGTGAGGAAGCTTCTGGGACTGGTTCCCAGATAGTGTCTTTGATCTTCCTTGTAGGTCTTCAAAGCTACACCTTTCTCCAAAGGCAGATGTGAAGAGCTTGATCTCTTATGTGGTGACCAAGACAAAAGTGATTAATGTGAAATATCATCGTTTCTTGGGTCGTCATTTCCCCCGCTTCTATGTCCTGTACACAACCTTCATGAAAGGTAAAAACAAAGCTAAAATAGAAATCCCTGAATCAGCTCTTGGACAAGGTCATAGAGTTATAGTAAGTAAGATCATTTGCAGGTTCTGCTCATGGGGGTGTGAGCAGGGATATCTTCTGTTTTATGGATACTTGAGCATTAAACTAATTCTTACGAATCAGCACTTCTCGAGCATGTTTCTAGAAAGATGTTATGAGACGACTTTTGACGACAACAAGGGGGAGGGAGGAGAATATAGGTATATTCTTGTGCTTTTCTTAACCATGCACTTGCTCAAGAGCGGAAATCTATAGCTATACAGATCTTTTCTGTGATTGATCGGTTGACTTGCCCATAGAAAAAATATCGTCTAATGCTTGTCACGAATCTCTATTAGGCAGCATGCTGTACTGGAAATAGCACTATGTATACTGGTTTCTGAATGTCTTAGTTCAAATGAGAGATCTGCTAGTTACCAGGAGATGAAATATATACTGTCAAGTGTCTACTGGAGCCAGATTGCCTGATTAAAATCCCAGCTTATCACTTACGGGCTGTGTGATTGGACTGGTTACTTACCCTCTCTGTCCCTTGGTGTGCTCATCTATAAAATGGGAGTAATAGAACCTACCTATTGACCACATGGTTGTGAAGATTAAGTAAATCAATACATGTAAAGTATTTAGAACCAGGGTCTGATCCATAGTAAGTGCCCAGTAAATGTTAGCTGTTCATATTATTAGAGTCTGTACTTTAATCCTAACACCAGTTGTAATAAAATACCACATTGTCATCTCTGAATGTCATAATTAGTACTAGCTTCATGGACTTGAAAAATTATGTATCTGTAAAGTAGAGATTAAAATGGTTGCTTTGGCTGCCCTCAGGTTGATAACTGGGATCAAATGAGAAAAGGGTCTGAAAGCATATTGGTTTGTTTGTTTTCTGAACCTTTTATTATGGAAATTTTTAAACATATGTAAAGGTAGAGAGAATAGTAGAGTGAACTTCCAGGTACTCACCTCACTTCAACAATTATCAGCTCAGCTCACCAGTCTTATTAGACACTTGCCTTCTGTATTATTTTGAATCCAATATAGTCTTCATATTATTTCATACATAAATATAAAAGCATTTTTAAAACTATAGTCCTAGATAAGTGTTAGGAATTTTCATAGAAGGAAGATTAAACATGCAATCCTAGGGCAGGCTTGCTGGCTCACGCTGTAATCTTACTGCTTTGGAAGTCTGAGGTGGGAGGATCACTTGAGGCCAGGAGTTTGAGACCAGCCTGGGGCAACATGGTGGGATTCCATATCTACTAAAAAAAATTATATATGTATGTGTGTGTATATGTGTGTATGTGTGTGTATACACACACACACAATTATGTATATATACAGAGAGAGCAGAAATGGACTACCTGTCCCCTCCCTCCTCTTTAGCAGAAAAGTTGGATCTATTTCACATTTCCCTAATATTAATAAATAAATTAACCAGCTGGGTGTGGTGGCATGCTCCTTATTGTCCCAGCTACTCAGGAGGCTGAAGCAAGAAGATGGCTTTAAGCCCAGGAGGTCGAGGCTACAGTGGGGTGTGATCATCATGCCACTGCACTCCAGCCTGGGCATGAGAGCAAAACTGTCTCTTTAAAAAAAAAGTTGCAACCATAGGGATATGTTGGATTATACTACTCATAAAACTGTTCTAGAAAAGAAATCAATTAGCATCTGGCTAGAGAGAATATAGGGTTAAATGAACAAGACATCCTGAGGTTGTCTGAACTTGGTTTCAAACAAGAGTGGGTAATGAAGGCTGGGCGCAGTGGTTCACGCCTTTAATCTTAGAACTTTGGGAGGCCGAGGTGAGAGGATTGTCTAAGCTCATGGGTTCAAGACCAGCCTGGGCAACTTGGTGAAACCTTGTCTCTATAATAAATCAAAATCTTAGCTGGGTGTGGTGACTTGTGCCTGTAGTTCCGGCTACTTGGAAGGCTGAGGCGGAAGGAGCACCTGAACCCAGCAGGTTGAGGCTGTGGTGGCCGTGAGCGTGTCACTGCACTCCAGCCTGGGCAGCAGAATGAGACTCCAACTCAAAAAAAAAAAAAAAGTAATGAAACAGAAGACCATTCCACAGCAAATCACAGAAGCCCAGCATAGCTGGAAGAGAGGGGACGTACTGGGGGATAAAAGAATGAGAAAAGGGATTTGGGCTGGCCCCATGACAGTTTCAAGTGACCTAGTTTAAAGCTTTGATATATGTGGTGTGCACAATGGCAAAAAAGATAAAAGCCAAGAAAATGTATACATAAAGCGTTTATATATAGTAGTGTTGGGGAGGGGCAAGAGGGTATGCGAGTGTGTGGACACAGGGTAGAAAGCTGGGTTAGATTCACCCTGGGATAATATCACACTCTGTCTTCCACTTCAATGAGGCAGGATTGCAGATGCTATGGGCTGATGCCAAAAAGGCTAGAAGAATCAAGACAAATATGTGGAAGAACAATCTAAAGTTTCATCAACTTCCATATCGAGAGATGGAGCATTTGAGACAGGTATGAGCTGAGGGTGGATGCCTAGAAGTTCACAGTGAGGTAATCATGTTGAACCTTGTTCACCACTGACCAAGTTTTGGCCCTTTGCCATGAGACCAAAGTATTGAACTGAATGAGGGCATCAGATTATGTGTAAGAATTGAGTTTATTCAAGTTGTAACCCTCCTGGCAGAGCCCCATAGTTTCTGACACACTTTTTGAATAAAAGCTGTAAACACTAAAATTCAGTTAGTTTCTGAATATATAAAAATTTGGCCAGGTGCAGTGGCTCATGCCTGCGATTTCAGCACTTTGGGAGTCCAAGGCAGGAGGATCACTTGAGACTAGCTGAGGCAACATAGTAAGACCTTGTGTCTACATAAAAAATTTTTTTAATAAATATATATTTATATATATTTATATAACATAATTATATATTTTTATAAATAAGTATATATATATTTTTATAAATATAAGCCAGGCTTGGTGGCTCAGCCTGTAATCCCGCGTCTTTGGGAGGCTGAGGTGAGTGGATTGCCTGAGCCCACGAGTTCGAGACCCGCCTGGGCAGGTGAGACTGCATCTGTACAATAAATCAAAAAATTAGCTGGGCATGGTAGCGCGCGCCTGTAATTCCGGCTACTCGGAAGGCTGAGGCGGAAGGATCACCGGAGCCCAGCAGGTCGAGGCTGTGGTGGCCGGGAGCGGCCACTGCACTCCAGTCTGGGTGACAGAGTGAGACTCCAACTCTAAAATAAAATAAAATAAAATTACAGTTTAAAAAAGCAATAATAAAATATAAATATATAAAATTAAAAAAATTAGCTAGGCATGATGGCACGTGTCTGTAGTCCCAGCTACTCAGGAGGCTGAGGTGAAAGGATCACCTGAACCCAGGAGGTCAAGGTTTCAGTATCCAGGATCGTGCCACTGCACTCCAGCCTGGTTGAGAAAGACTCTGACTCAAAAAAAAAAATCTAGCCATGTGCAGTGAGTGGCTCATGCCTGTAATCCCAGCACTTTGAGAGGTAGAGACAAGAGCATTGCCTGAGTCCGGGAGTTTGAGACCAGCCTGAGCAACTTGGCGAGACCTTGACTCTATAATAAATCAAAAAATTAGCCGGGTGTGGTGATGCCTGACTGTAGTTCCAGCTACTTGGAAGGTTGAGGTAGAAGGATCATCTGAGGCCAGCCGTGCAAGGCTGTGGTGGCTATGAGTGTGCCACTGCCCTCCAACCTGGACGACAGAGTGAGACTCCAACAAAAAAGAAAGAAAGAAAGAATGTAGGACCCATTCTGCAGATCAGAAAGAATTCACTGAGGATTTGGTATCGTGTCAGGCCCTGTACTAGACATTGTATTTTGGATATAAAAGTGAACAAATCAGAGGTTCTATCCTCAAGAAACTTAGAATCTAGATCAGATAGAAATAAACTGGGTCTTTCTCATGGGCTGTAGTAGAAGTTTACTGCACAGTGGGGTGGAGGGATTGTCTGTTGTATGAAGAACTTACTTGAGTTAAAACCACATCTGTGTTTATTTCTGCTTAGTTCCGCCAAGATGTCATCAAGTGTCTTTTCCTAGGTATCATTTCCATTCCACCCTTTGCCAACTACCTGGTCTTCTTGCTAATGTGAGTACAGACTTTTGTCTCCCCAATATCTTGAAGATATGTTGTTTCTTTTTTTTAGTTAAAAATTACTTTACACAGAACTTTTCATTTCAGAAGCCAGGTGAGGTTATCACACTTCCTGCTCCAATATTCTTCTCTTTATCCCAAGGTTCATAAACGCCTCTCAGTAGGACTTCAGTTCCCGGGACTCAGCACAGCTGTAGGTGTAGGTGGCCTTGACTTTCCCTGTCTCTTAGCTGCCCCGGGTCATGGGAAATAAGATCATGACCTTCTCCCTCAGCCCTTGAGGCAGCAACCCACTCCCTGAACGCCATAGCCATTTGGGATGAATTTTTTTCTTCAGGAGAAAATTGCATCTCATATTCTGATAACACATTTTTGTTACTCTGTATCCAAAAGTGACATTTCTAAAGTGACCTTGCATGTCATTTCGGTTACCTATTGCTATAAAACAAACAACCTCAAAACTTAATAGCATAGAATAACCACCATTTTCATGACTTTGTGGGTCAAGAATTTGGGCAAGGCTCAGGAACATGATTTATTTTTCTTTTCTTTTTTCTTCGAGACAGAGTCTCACCCTGTCTCCCAGGCTGGAGCGCAATGGCACGCTCACGGCCACCGCAGCCTCAACCTGCTGGGCTCAGGTGATCCTTCTGCCTCAGCCTTCCAAGTAACTGGAATTCCAGGTGGGTGCCACCATGCCTGTTTAATTTTTTGATTTATTACAGAGACTGGTCTCGAACCCCTGGGTTCAAGCAGTCCTCTTGGCTCTACCTCCCGAAGTGCTGGGATTACAGGCGTGAGCCACTGCACCCAGCTTATTTTTCTTTTCTATATGGTTTTGAAAGAGGTCTCTCAGTGACAATTAACTGCTGAATGGACTAGTCTGAAGGGTCCAAGGTCACTCTTATGTCTAGTAACTTAGCAAGGATGGTTGGAATACCGGAACTGTCAATCAGAGTGCCCATCTGTGGCCTCTCCAGCATGGTGGCCTCAGGGTAGTGGAACTTCCTACATGGCGTTGCAGGGCTCCAAGAGTGATATTTCCAGTAAATAAGAATCTGTGTGACCTTTTATAAAATGTCTTAGAGGTCATATAGACTCACTTCTGCTGTATTTTATTGGTTGATTTAATCACCTAGATTGGAAAAAAAAAAAGAATAGAGAATTTGTGGCCAATATCAGAGAACTATGGTTTTAAAACCACCACATGTGGGTAAATGAATTAAAAAACAAATCAGGCTGGGTAAAACAAATCGGCCTCACACCTGTAATCCCAGCACTTTGGGAAGCCAGGGTGAGAGGATCACTTGAGCCCAGGTGTTCAAGACCAGCCTGGGCAATATAACGAGACCTCAACGCTACAAAAAATCAAAAAATTAGCTGAGCATGGTGGTGCATACCTGTAGTTCCAGCTACTCGGGAGACTGACGCAGAAGGATTGCCTGAGGCCAGGAGGTTGAGGCTGTGGTGAGCTGTGATCATGCCACTGTACTCCACCATAGGTGACAGAATGAGACCCTGATCCCCTCCCAAAAAAACCCCCAAAACAATGAATCGATTGCCTTTAGCACATAGGGACTGTGCTACAGTTGGGCTGTCAACATCACATAGAGTGCCCAGCTTGGTCTGTCCAAAATGAGTTTTTTCCATGCTTTAGTTCAAAAGGAGTCAGTTTATCTGATTGCTGCCAGCCAGGCTATTCTATGGCTCCTTCCTGTCTCAGCACATTTCAGTAATGTTGCTTGATATTGTGCTTCAGTGTATCCTTAAAGCTTGGTCTCAGACTCATTTAAGACAAAGAACATTGAGGTAGGAAAATAGCTTCTCCTCTCTTCCTAGTGTTTGTGTCTGCCAAATGCCTTCTTAACTCACTTTGAAAGATGCCAGTTTCAGCAGGTGACTTTGTGATGCTTTTTCCTTTCAGGTACTTGTTTCCTAGGCAACTACTGGTCCAGCATTTCTGGACACCAAAACAACAAATTGATTTCTTAGATGTCTATCACGGTCTCCGGAAGCAGTCCCACCCAGAAATTGTTAGTTACTTAGAAAAGGCCATTCCTCTCATTTCTGATGCAGGACTCCGGTGGCATCTGACAGATCTGTGTGCCAAGGTATTCCTCCAGTCAACCCTTTCTACAAACCGGGAATCTCGTTAGACCCAGTGTGCACCGAAGCTAGGGAGGAGGGCTAGTCAGGACCTTCCTAACGCCCGCCAATCTCTTATCTCTCCCAAGATGCAACGCAGCACCCACCCGGCAGCACCTGACATCCTGGCACTGCGAGAGTGTTTCTCTGACCATCCTCTGGGCTTGAACCACCTCCAGGCTGTGCACATGGTGAGCACTCTGAGCCCTTCTCTCGTCCACAGCCTCACCTTGCTGCAGATCTCTGCTTGCGGTCATACTGTCTGCTTTTCTCCTCCTCTGTGGTTGTATCATAGAAAGCCTTGAGCCGGGCTATGCTTCTCACCCCGTACCTGCCTCCTCCCTTATTGAGACATCGTTTGAAGACTCGTATCGCTGTAATTCACCAACTAGACGGGGCTTTGGTGAAGCTGGGGATTGGCCAGCTGACTGCTCAGGAAGTAAAATCGGTAAGAGCTCAATTATGACATCAACCCTCAACCCTTGGTGGGTTTTGGAGCTCAGAGGCAGGCTGGAAGCCTGCAGGGGTTTCTTGTCTTGTTTGTTGTATCAGAATCCAATCTTTATTTTCTCTTCTTGTTTCTATATTTTTTTCCTCAACAAATTTAACTAGGGGGAAGGAATTACCCACAGTAATTTTGATTTATATTTCTTTTATATATATCTGGCTCTTCAGAAACCAAGAACAGCCATGTGCAGTGGCTCATGCCTGTAGTCCCAACACTTTGGGAGACTGAAGCCGGAGAATTGCTTGAGCCCAGGAGTTCGAGACCAGCCTGGGCACCATAGCAAGACCTTGTCTCTACAGAAAAGAAAAAAAATTAGCTGGGCCTGGTGGCGTGCACCTATAGTCCAAGCTACTCAGGAAGCTGAGACAGAAGAATTGCTTGAGCTTAGAAGGTTGAGGCTGCGGTGAGCCATGATTGTGCCACTGCATTCCAGCCTGGGCAAGAGAGTGAGACCCTAACTCAAAAAAAGAAAAACCAGGAATGCTGCACTTTAGACCTACTGCTTTAGATTATAGGGGCCTCTTTGCTTGTCATCTTGTCCATCACTAGTCCAGTTGCCATGGGGAAAGGTTTCTTGCAGGGTTGAGGCTGTAACTCATTTAAAGAAGAGTTAGAATTATTGTGGATTTCCGCTTCCTTGGCACGTTCACTCTGTGATGTTTAAGGACCATTTCTCTTCTGAGTGCCTTAGGCTTGTTATCTTCGTGGCCTGGATTCTACCCATATTACTGAAGACAGGTGTCGGACTTGGCTGGGAGAATGGCTGCAGATTTCCTGCAGCCTGAAAGGTAAGACAAGTTGCTATGGTTATGCCTCTAAAATCCAAGCTGGTTTCGTATTTTATTCTGAGGTTTTCTTGGAGTTGAGTACTGTGAGACCCTTGTCTAACACATATATTTAATTGAAGGGGCACAGCTCACATGCCTGCTCCATGCCTAGGCTGGTCATGAGTCGAGCGTATAAGATGGGGGGGTGCCGTGAGCCACAAGAGTGAACCCTTGCTAATTTGAAGCAGTGTCTCACCCTTGGCACTTGCTTGTGGGGGGCTATCGCATGCTTTACAGGTTATTTAGCAATATCCCTCACCTATACCCACTATATATTGGCAGCGCCCCTTCACCCCCAGTCCTGTCAGCCAGAAATGTCTCCAGACATTGCCAAATGTCCCCAGGGGCTGGGGAGAGGAGCAGAATTGTCCCAGTTGAGAAGACTGGTCTAAAGTCATTCAAACCTAAAACAGAAACCCTGCTGGCTAAACAGAAAGTACCCAAGGGTGGATATTAGGCCCGTCAGTCCCATTTAGAACCTTTGCCCAGGTCTTGGTGTTTTCTAGACCTTTGGATGTCAGGGTAGGCCTACTAATCTTGAATCTGAGACCTGTCCCTAGAGCACCAGCTTGTGTCAGAAGAATTCTAAGGTGACAGTGGTGTTTAGGACCATTGTCGTCTTTCAGTTTTCTCCTGCCATCACATGAGCATCAAGAAATAGAGGAAGCTCTAAGATAAATACACACAAAAAGAGCAACAAAAAAGTCAGGGGAAAATAAAGAAATAGAGGGTGCGTTGATCTGACTTTCTAGTGGAAGGAAGGGAAAGCACGCTTGCGGGGGCTGAACGCAAAGGGAACTTGAATACCCGCTTCATGCCATCCCTCCCTGTACTGGGCTTTCTGCTTTGCCTCAAGCCCCATATCCTGTCAATGAGAAGGCGAGCTGTTCCCCAGCCAAGCCACTAACGTTCATGGTGTTTTCAGAAGCCGAGCTGTCCCTCTTGCTGCACAGCGTGGTCCTGCTTTCCACCAACTACCTCGGGACAGGGCGCTGAGGGAGCCAGAGTGGATGGCACATCCTGCAGTCACGTAGCATCGCCGTGTGGGACCAAACAGCCCTTGTCAGCAGAGTCTTGTGTGTACTGATGCATGGGAGGCAGAATGGCGGTGCCATGGGCTTCACAGCACAGTGCCCATGTGGGAACTACAGACGTTCCCCTCATGGCTGGGACTAAAACAAACCGCTTCTTCCAGGCGTGGACCACGGGAGGTGTCCTGTCTCCCTAATGATGAGCCGGAGCTGGCGGCAGCTCTGTCTTGGGCTCTTGCCATGATGTGTCTAGTTCTGGGAAGTCGGCTTCCACCCCAGGTGGGATTCTTGTTGGCTAGGACTCGTCTACCACCATGTTCTTGTGCTAAGGAATTTGTGGATGCCAAGAAAGCACCACTTAGACTGGAGCACTTACACCAGTCTGCAGTGCTTCCCAATCCTTTCTGTATGACCAAAACGGGGATTTTGTTTTTTTTTTTGGTCCTCTCGCCGGGATGGGCTGACCACTCCCTTTCCTTTTCAAATCCTTTGAACACTTTTTTAAAAATGAATGATTTATGGGAACATTCTAATGGAAAGAGGAAGGACATTTGTCTCTCGACCCTTCCCCAGTATTTACAGCCTTCCCTGTCGTCTTCATTTCTGGGCTGGACACAGCACCTGAGGATCTTCAACTCTGCTACCACTGCGTTGCAGTGATGACTGTAACTGGCAGTGGCTGCCTTCTCTGGGCCATGGATCAAGCCCTTAAGGTACTAATTACTGCCTAGCCTGGGGAGACCAGGAGGGGTCTGCATTGAGCTAGTAAGTCAGGTTTAGCTTTTGTATGTGTGTGCCTCAGTGACCTATAGTTCTGTAATAACTTATTGTGGCTGCATGAAGCACCATTTGTAAACCCAAGTAAAGACTGCCTGAGTATGGACATTACTTACGCATACTCTAATCATTTTACTAAGTCTCCTTTTACATGACTGCCATAACCCACCTAGCAGGGATTTAACCTTCTGATGGAAGTTTTGAAAGAACCAATATGAAGTTGATCTTCTTGCTGGACACTTTAAGGTGGTAATTAGGAGTAGAGAATTTCACACATGTAAGTTAATGGGATGAGAAAACGGGTCCAAGAGTAGGGCTGCAGAGCAAAGATCTAACCAGGCAGAGCAAGGCCCATGTCAGTGGAAGAAATGCGTAGGGGCACGTGGAGCATGTCCAGCTCGCAGTGCTCCCAAGAGAATATTCTATTTTTCCATCACAAAACGTTTCTATTGTTAACATTAATTCTGAACTGACCTAATTAGTTTCACATACAAAGCTGGAGAAGCATCCTTTCTCCAACAAGTAACTGAATCATGGCCTTCCAAGATAAAGGGTAACACACCATTCTTTTGAATATTTCTTTAATATTACATTTAAATATTCTCTTTAAATACAGCATTATCACAATGTAAAGAACCTAAAAGGCAAAAAAAAAAATTGTTTTCAGAGAACCAGACAAGCTTTGGATTCACATTGAAAAATACTACCTGTGTACAGTATGTGAGAAAGTAAATTGGAAAATAATAAGGGCTGCGGTAATAAGAGTCGTTTTTTCTCCCTAGGCCTAGACTGAGTGGGACTGAAGCTATCTGCTTCTATGATCAAGGCCTAGCTTTCCTAGCAACCGTGAGCTAGAATTCTGTCCCACTCAGGTAGCACCATAAGTGAGATGGACTAGGTTGTAGAAAAGGCCCTTTGCTTGACAAGAGTTAATGCTAAGTGTTAATATTTTGCATTCGGAAGTTTGGGATGAGTGTGAGTCAAAATTGTGGAGTTAATGAACTTAGATAAGAAACTGCAGTTTTTCAGAAGTATCAAATATCTTATGGATTGGCATTGAGTTCATTACGATTCAAATTCCTGGTTTGATCCCAAAGGCTAATGTATACCTTCCTGGAATCCACGTCCTAATTAAGCTGAAGCCTTCCTGCGGAGGTGGGGTGTAGAGCTCACCTTCCCCTCCCAACACAGACTTTCAAGAAGTTCCTTTTCTCCGTAGAGCCAAGTTCCCAGCTAAGCTTCGGTCTTATGTTTGCGGGTACCGGTCTAAGGTAGGGGAGTGCAGCTTGGTTCTGGATAGCGTCTAGATCTCACAGCTGTCTTCTGGGAGGTCAGGGGAAGGGGAAAGTAAAGAACCTGTGTCTTTCAGAACTCCCCTCCAAACAGAAAACCAAGTAAACCCAGGAATGAATCAGAAAGGCAGAATGGGTCCCAGAATGTATCTGTGTAAGTAAAAGGCCTCTCAGGCTCAGAGTGTAGAGACTTTACAGGTGAAATGCTGCCGCGACACACATGAAGGTTGCTTTAGGACACCAGGGCCTGAACATTCCATGAGAAGAGGCTTTATGAGCAAGACACACTGCAACAGTTATCTCCCCGACAATGGAAAAGTTGCTCGCTTTTTCCTTCCTGGTTAATAAACCAGACCAGAGTGAAGCCTGGTTTGAAGGACGCTGGGGAAGAGTAGTGTTTTGCTTCCTCCTACCTCCGCTTTAAAACAAAGATAACTTTGCTAATAAAAAGAAATCAGTGGTGTTCTGTGGGGCAGATCTCAGACCATAGAATGAACAGGAACCGTATCCCCCTGACAGAGGTGAGAACTGAATTGAACTGACTTTGAATTCCGTTCTATGGCCCTCCGAGGTTATAGTCAGAACTCGAATCCCTTGGAACCTGGGAGCTGTACGGGGCATTAAGAATTGGCTTGGCTTCCAGTGTTTATGTATCATCATGATGGAAGGGTCCAGTCAACACGTGCAGTTCTTGGGCTTGGACTGGAATCGTGTAAGAACTCTTACCCTGTATATCCAAGAAGGACCATGAGGGCAGACACAGGAAAAAAGAACAAAACTAGTCGGTGACCTCAGATCGCCACATCCTCCATCCCATTAAAGCTCAGATCTCCCAAAGAGGGAAAAAACTCTGGGTGAGAAAGCAAGCATGGCGCAAATCAAGTCACCTCTCCAGACAGCAGCCCACTCCTGCTGCCTCCTTTGGACACAGGGCCTCCTGCGGGATGGGTACGCCCCAGCCTTAAGGGGCCTGACAGCGCTAGTGTCAGATGTGGGCAGACCTGTCAGGCTCTCATGCCACATCCCCAGACGCGTCTTCAAAGGAAAAAGGATGGAGGGGAAGAAAGACAAGTCTAACTCTTAGTACCTAAGAACATGTAAAATCAGAGACAATTCAAGTTACAGACCAGGAATCCCCAGTGTGGGGAACAGGTCAGAGAACACCAAACATGTCAAATATTAACTTATTTACCAAATGGGGGCCAGAGGAAGGCAGGTCACACTTTGCTAAGCCCCGGAGGCTTGTACAGCAGAGACCCTTCCACCCCGCTCCTCTCTCGATTCCACCAGGTGACTCCACCAGGTGACGTTTCCAATCGTAGGATCGTGGCACACCAGCACGGGAGGTCGGAGTAACCACTGAGAACAAGGAACTTGTACCGGCCTGGAGCTCGGGAGAGGAGGGGGCTTTGCCGTGCTGTCCAAACTCTCGCGTTCTGGTCCCTGCATAAATAGCGGCTTGAACTACCCAGCTCCTCCTGCGAGAGCCCGGTTCTTTGTTCCGAAGGCCCAGAAAGCTCAGTATTCAGCCCTAGGCAGCCTTCTCTGCCCAAGACTACCCCCAGGTCCATCTGGGGCTGGTCTCAGTACTGTTTCCCTTTAAAAAATACTTATACAAACGAGCCTGTCCCACCCATTCCCCAGAGACCCCAATAAAATAACATGGGAGCAGCAGCTGCTTCTACAGTTTTGTTTTGAAATGGCGTTAGATAAAATAGGGGAATAAATAGGGAGCGGGAGCGAGGCGGGGTCGCAGCCGGTCACACTGCCAGGGGCAGTTCTAGGGACGCCTCCTCCGGGGGCCGCGCCTCGCTGGGCGCGGGGGCCTTCTCGGCCCCGCAGGCCTCTTCGCTGTCCGCGCGGAAGGCCAGGCTGGAGGGCGGCCAGCAGGGGCGGAAGTCCTCCCCCGCCGGCGCCTCGGGGTTGCAGTCTT